GTCGGCTGCGCTCCTGGAGGGAAGTGGGGATGTGAGCCACCCCTCGGTGCACATGACTGCAGGTTGGATAAGAACAACCAGGCAGCGGGAGGGTCTCAGGTTGCAGGTGTGGGAACAAGGCGACCCCACTTCAAGGTCAGCCTGAGGCCTGGCTGGATGGAGAAAACCATCACTAAGAAGTTGGACATTTTTAAATCAAGATAAAACTAGCCCCCTCCGTGCGCACAGGTGAGAAGGGCCAACAGAAACGGAAGAGGGGGAGCAGACACGGGGCTTCTTGCTGGCAGAGCCCGGCGCCTCCCGACAGGCCCCCCTGCACTGCGCAGGGAGGAGCGGCAGAATGCTGAAGGTGCAGCCTGCAAAACCCGAGACTCGGGGCGATGGTAACAGGGTAGCTCGGCTTTCCTGTCCTGTTCTGGGTGCTCAGAGTGTAATCATATACCTCCAGGGGACAGACCTGCTGCTTTCGGAGAGGGAGAGGATGTGTGTGTGCAAGTGCATGTGTTAACATGTGTGCACATGAGTATCTGCATGTGTGTGTGCATGTATGCAGTAGAGGTGAAGTTGCCTGTCCTGGGTAAACTCACAGACAGCTCCGTTGTGAAGGTTTAACCAAATAGAGAAAGAAGGAGGGAAGGGGGAGGGAAAGGAGAGAGGAGCAGTCCTCGAAATCCTGACGTGCCAGCCAGGACTCTGCACCTGTACAACCACAGGGCAGGTGGGGAAGGTCACGACCTCGTTGCCCTGCATCTCATCTCCATCCTCAGCTCCAGAAACTGGAGGCTGGTTCCATCCTCCTCGGTCAGTCGCTCGGGAAAGGCACAGAGTAAAACCTCAATTCCTCCGCGCACCCCGCAGGGGACCTCAGGCGCACCCCCTCAACATCGATGCTCCTCACCCAGGGCTCCTGCGTCTCTGGCCCAGGAAGGAGACCCCAGACCCAGGTCTCGGGCAAATGCCTGCGGACTTACTTGGGTGAGACCTTCCTGCAAGCATCCACCGGGGGTCGTAGGGGGCTCTCGATGGGAAAAATTCAATCTCTCTGTCAATGGGGTCAGTGGGTGTGATGATGGGGACTGGGCTGTGATTATCCTGGAAAAGAAAGCTGGGTCTCCACCTCTGCTCCCCGGGTTCGTCAGCAACGCCTGCGACCTGCCCCTCGCGCTTCCCTCCTCTTACTGTGACGATGGCTGGCTGCCCAGTAGAAGCCGAACCCAAACAAGCTCATCTCTATGATTCTGAGTAGAATGTGCTGAGGGCCCACCAAGGGCTGGGCTCCAAATGTCATTTCACTTCATCATCAGGGTAACACTCTGGGGGTAGGGGCTATTGTTGTGCCCATTTCACAGAGGAGGAAACTGAGGCTTGGTTGTCCCCAGGTCTGATTGCTACTGAGGGGGAAGCCAGGAATCAAATCTAGCCCATCCCCTCCTAAAGGATCAACCGATGGCATCATTAGCCATTTATTTTTCTTTTTAAGGCCAAGAACAACTAGTGCAGGGTTGGGTGCCTGGGAGGGAGGCGGGGAGGGAGGGGGGAGGATAAAGAAGCATTCACCCCACCACACCTGCAGGGCTCCCTGCTCCCCGTGCTCCCACACCACGCAGCCAATGAACATCATGACAGCGTCTCCAGGCTCTAAGCTGCAGGAGGGGGATGCCGCACCTTTGGCATGTAGGACAGCCACTCCAGGATGGTATAAACGCCCTCGAAGTCGTCAGGCACGGTGATGTGGGAGACGCCATTGTTATGCATGATCTGCACGCCGCCCAGCTGGTTGTTGGACGTGTAGACCTCTCTGCCCAGGACCTGCGTAGACACGGCCGGGTTAGCAAGGTCCTGCCCGGCCCGGGACCATCTCCCTCCTGTTTGGCGGTCATCTCCCTCGGTGGTCCTCACCCCTGGCTGCACGTTGGAATCACTGGGAGCTTTTACACACCCGGATGCCCGGGCTGCACCCGGTCCGATTATATTAGAATCTTTGGTGTGTGTTTTAACTTCTAGATAATTCTAACATGCAGCCCAATTTGAGAAGCAGTGTGTCCTTTGATGACCTTGATTACGATGACTTATGGTGACTTTGGTCATCTCAAAAGCAAAACCTGCCCGACTGGCATGGTTCAGGGGTTGAGCATCGACCTATGAACCAGGAGGTCACAGTTCCATTCCTGGTCAGGGCACATGGTCCAGATGCAGACTCGATCCCCAGCAGGGGGCACGCAGGAGGCAGCTGATCAATGATTCTCTCTCATCGATGTTTCTCTCTCTCTCCCTGTCCCTTCCTCTCTGGAATCAATAAAAATAAAAAATAAATAAAAAGGCAAAGCCCTCCCTCACGTTTCTGACTCAGTGGGTCTGGGACGGGGCCTGAGGAGCTGCATCTCTAACCCGTCCTCAGGGGGCGCTCATGCCGCTGGTTCGGCCGCACTTGGAGACCCTCAGTGGGATTTGAGAACGTTCTATCAGGGAAGCTTTACGACGTGGCAATGTTGCCATGGAGCGAACAAAGCAGAAACCACACTGCACAGTCACTGAGATTTCTGCATCTCTAACCCGTCCCCAGGGGGCGCTCATGCCGCTGGTTCCAGCCGCACTTGGAGACCCTCAGTGGGATCTGAGAACGTTCTATCAGGGAAGCTTTACAACGCGGCAATGTTGCCATGGAGTGAAAAAAGCAGAAACCACACTGCACAGTCACTGAGATTCAGCACAGGGAGTGGGGAGATGAGAGGGAAACATACCAGAATCACAGCAGGAGCACAGTTACACGTGGGGGTCTTTTTCCAATTTTCTTCAGGGTACAGTGCTGTCTTATGAATTTTAATAATTTTTGAAATTAACTAATTTTTAAAATTTAAATGTCAGGAACATAGAGCCAAATCCTTTTTGTTCTTTGTTTTTTGCTTTTTTGGCGGGGGTGGGGTGGCGTGGGGGGATTCATAAGAGGCCCAGATATTTGCAAACTGGGAAAACAGCTCTTACATCAGTGGGAATGATACTGGTTTCACACTGAGAAGACACCACCAGGGGACGAGGGGACGGGAAACGACCCCCAGCCCCTTCACGCTCACCTTGTTGAGGGCGCTGGCTCCGGTCAGGATGATGTGGGAGTTTTCCACCTGGATCACCCGCTGGCCCAGCCTCACCAGGTAGGCCCCGATGCCCAGGGCGCGGCAGGTCACCTGTGGAGACAGGACCCCTTCTGAGTTCCCGAGGCTGCCCCATCCCCAGCAGGAACCCGATGGACACAGATGGCGACCGGAGTCAGGGCTGAACAGCAGAGGCGAAGCCTGACCTTGAGGCTCCCTTGACCTTGGCTTCCCACCCAGGAGTAACCCCGTCAACCAATAGGGGTGCTTTAGACAGGCAGCAGGCACGGAATGTTCTGGTTCCCCCTCCCAACGCACGCGGGGAGCCCTTCTGAGCTGGGTCATCCATGAGCTCTTGCAGCCGCTCCCACGACCCAAAGGACGGCTGAGGGTGCGTGTGAAACGGGACATCCCAGCGAGGGCTGTGCCGTGTGGGAGTCTGTGCCCAGGTCAGTGCCCCGGCTCTGACAACGTACTATCACGTGTGAAAGAGTCCATCGCAGGGGAGACTGGGGGAGAAGTGCCCGGGACCTCTCCATACTAACTTGTAACTGCTGGGGAGTCCAAAACTATTTCTAAATAAATGAATATGTACACACACACACACACACACACACAGTTGACCTTTGAACAACACAGGAGTTAGGAGAGCTAACCTCCCCTTCCCCCAATAAAATCAGTGAATAACTTCCGATTCCCCCAAAACAACTACTAATAACCTATTATTGTGTTATATGTATTGGGAGCTGTATTGCTACAATAAAGTAAGCGAGAGTACCTTGGCCAGTGTGGTTCAGTGGACCGCCCCCTCGTTATCAACTCTTTCCTTTTGTGACCATTTTAAACTTCCTAACATAAAAGGTTGAGACATAACAGACAATGAAACCAGAGGAGGCTCACCAAGCTGATGGTGACGATCTCGTCGTAAGCCAGGGAGCACTCCCCTGCGATCATGCCTGACCCCCTCAGGTTCTCCACGCCCAGGCCGTCGTCCTTCCCAATGATGTCCGTGATGACATACCTTCAAGAACCAAACACGAGTTAAAACGCAAGATGGGGTCCAGAGAGATCCCAGGCTGGCCCCTTTCCCAAGGGCCTGAGGCAGGAGGGGCAAGCTGGGGATAAAGCAGCCAGAGGCGAAATGGAAGTCGAGGTCTGGGACCTTCGTGATTGGCCCTAAAGTTTCTAGGAGACCGTGCGGAGGCTGTCTTAATGAAATGTCATCCCCACCGTGCCTTCTTCCTGAAGCAATTGAGAACACCATTTGGTCTACACAGAGATGGGGAAGCCACTTAGCTCACAATCAATCAAGACTGGCCACCCAAGTGTGAGAGGCACTGTACTTCCTAACCTGTTTGAGATTCACAAGGCACTGAGCACCTTAAAGGTTTGGGGGAGGCCCTTAGGAAAGGTGCTTGTTAGATCTCATGTAACCCAGTATTTCCCAAACCTACTTGATGATGGAAATTTCTCCTCCTCCCCACGTATCACCAACTAACATTCCAGAAAACTCAGCCTGGGAAATTCTGATTCAGTCACTCTCACTAAAGTAGCAACAACACACCCACCACTTTCTCTGGAAGAGACAGCCGGTAGCTGTGATGTTCAGGTGGAGCCGACCCCTGCCCCGCCCACACCTTCCCCGCTTGCCAAACACTGCCACATCGTGGGCTAATTTGATCCTATAACGTGAGCCTGCAGCTCTGGGGACTTCATGGGAAATTGATCTGACTCCCCCTGTTTAATATGCTATCTTTGTCAGAGGCACGGCTTATCTGGGGATGACAGGGAGGGGTTCACCTTCGAGAACACCCCAGGTATTTAAGTCATCGGTGCCAAAGCTGCAGGGTCCCACTGTACACCCCCCACCACCCTCTTGGAAATACCACCACAGCCGGAGGCAGAGAGACAGGTTCCCCAGGAATAGCTGAAATCAACCCCAGGCCAAAGGAGGGAGCCACCTGCCAGTTACTTACCTGGATTCTCCTTCCTCCTCGATATGTTTGCAGTGGACGGAGTTCAGGGAGCTGATCCTGGTGTACTCTTGGGGGGTCAGGTACAGGTACTTAAATCCCTTAAAACAACAACAGCAAAAAACATACTCCGGTGAAGCTATGAATCCATTTTCCTGCCCTTGGCAGCCACTGTTTTTAAAGACATATCAACACTGCAGAATGGATGTTAATAACGTGTAAACGATATGTTAACATGTCTGATTAATACCATGCTCATAAGAGCTATAAACGCAAGATCTGCGTTGTGCTAATGCTTTCCACCCAGCCTCACAGCATCGCCTCCTGTCTCCCTGCTCGGATTCTGTTTCCCAGTTACCTTCTCACTATTGCTCCCCTAGGGTCCCTTGTCTGTGGCTCTTCCACAAAATACCACGTGCAGGCACGCACGTACAGTGCGATTGAAACTTCGTGCCCCATGGGCAGAAGTCGGTATTTTGTTAGAGCCACAGTCAAGGGGCCAACGAGCCGCATGTGGCTCGCGAGCCGCAGTCTGCCGAGCCGCAGTTTGCGGACCACTGCCCTAGGGAGATTTTTCAGACTGTTTTCCTTATTCCCAGCCTCCCCTGGCCCGCATGTTGTTGTAGTACTCTGTGTGTGTTATGTTTTTCACATTGAAAATCATTTCCTCTTTTGTGTGTGTGTGTGGGGGGGCATGACTGCCCCCTTCGAAATGCCGGCTGTGGTTGCAAAGAGGGACTCTGTCCCCTGCACTTTCACGTCATAAAACGTGTGCTCTCACTCCTGCGGCCTTCCAGTGTAGCTGGTGTCTCCCCGTCTCCCCACGGTTTTTAACAAATCTCCGAGGCCAGGGACGATGTATTTTTCACCTTTGCGTTCTCAGTGTTTGCTGCATTCAGGAGAGACAGTGTATATTCTATATCTGTATATACACCCGCATTAGCTCAGGGTTCATAAACCTTTTTCATTACTGTCCCCTAAGGAGCCTTTTTAGGCACGTTTTCCTAACGGCCATCCCCTCCCATGAAATTTAAAATAAATATATGTATATATATGTTGTTATTATTGTTGATTTCAGAGATGAAGGGAGAGGGAGAGAGAGAGAAACATCAATGATGAGAGAGACTCATTGATCAGCCGCCTCCTGCACACCCCACACTGGGGATCAAGTCCGCAACTCAGGCATGTGCCCTGACCCGGAATCGAACCCTGACCTCCTGGTTCATAGGTCGAGGCTCAACCACTGAGCCATGCCCAGCCGGGCTCCCATGAAATTTTAATACCGATAAACCATATGCCTGTTTATGTAGGATATCTGTGCTCTATGTGGAAAAAGAGTAAGACTCTTTCACCCCCTGTGGGCACTGCCGCCTCCACTGGTCCTGCACACCCCACACTGGGGATCAAGTCCGCAACTCAGGCATGTGCCCTGACCCGGAATTGAACCCTGACCTCCTGGTTCATAGGTCGAGGCTTCAACCACTGAGCCACGCCCAGCCAGGCTCCCATGAAATTTTAATACCGATACACGGTATGCCTATTTATGTAGAATATCTGTGCTCTATGTGGAAAAAGAGTAATAAGACTTGTTTCACCCCCTGTGGGCACTGCCGCCTCCACTGGAGATACGGTGCCAGCCGAGCGGAGCGACACTGCCACACCGCTCCTGACGCACCTTGTGGGGGTCTTCGGGGTCCACCCACGCCACCTTGAACACATGCTTGATCTCCTCGGCCAGGCCGATGCGGGCCCCGCTGTTGGCGGCGAGGTAGATCTGGGGGATGCCCTCGGCCCGGGCCAGCTCGGACGCGCGCAGGTACAGGAGGTCCTCCCCGACGCCGAAGGACCCGATGCGGAAGGTGATGTCGTTGCTGATGAGGATCACGTCCCGCCCGTCCGGGTACTCCCGCGTCTTCAGATTCATCCTGAAGGCCACCATGCCCACCTGGTGACGACACAAAGGCGCGAGGGAAGCGGGTTTGTGTCGTCGGGGGGGGACACTTACGGAACGGGCGGTTCCGGCCAGGCGCTGGGCTCCGCTGAGACCTGACCTCGTTTCCTCCGGGAAGTCGGTTCATCTCCACCAGCTGGCCCTGCGGGTCCAGCACCAGCTCCGTGTATGTCAGCAGGTCTTTGGGGTACTTGTCTGGGGAGGCCCACAGTTTAAAGAGAGCCTGGGGAGAGGGGAGGAAAAAGAAAAGCCTGAGTCACCAGTAGGGAGGCTCATTTACTAGCTCTTTCTCTTTTTAAATCATGAGCTACTTTTTCTTTTCCTATTTAAAAAAAATTTTTTTTATTGATTTCAGAGATGAAGGGAGAGGGAGAGAGAGAAACATCAATGATGAGACTCATTGACTGGCTGCCCCCTGCACGCCCCGTACTGGAGATTGAGCCCACAACCCGGGCATGTGCCCTGATTGGGAATCGAACCGTGACCTCATAGTTCCGTGGTCGGCAAAATCAGTGGCTCGAGAACCATATGCGGCTCTTTGGCCCCTTGAGTGTGGCCACTAAGTTTCAATCACACTGTACGTGTGCGCCTGCATGTGGTATTCTGTGGAAGAGTCACACACAAGGGGCCACAGTTTGCCGACCACTGTCCTAGTTCAAATGAGCCACACCGGCCAGGCAATCATGAGCTACTTTTAACATGCAGAACAACAAATCTCATGGTTTTATCAAATCATAATTTTCCGTAGTTGCTTAAGATTTTTTTTAAAAAAATAAGATGTGGTTGGAGCCCTTATTGTACCCCTCCTCACCCCATCCCTGACCCTCCTCCCCACACCTACCCACAGGGAATCATTACCCTGAATTTAGTGTCTACAGTCCTCTGCATGCTTGCATGTTTTTATTTCATCATGTATGCATACATTTAGACATGTAGTAGTCTTTTGCATGACTTAAACTTTAAATAAGTGGTATCGCACTGCACACATCCTTCTGCAACTTTGCTTCTAAAGATTTTTTTCAATAAATATTATAAATGCATTTTCTCATCATTAGGATTTCCTCAAGAACATTTTCTTTTCTCCAGCTTACTTTATTGTAAGAATACAGCATGTAATACATGTAACATACAAAATAGGTGTTAATCAGCTATGCTACCCAGTAGGGATTCTGGTCAAGAGTAGATTAGCAGCTACGTTTTGGGGGAATCAAAAGCTATATGAAGATTTGACTGCACCGGGGGTCGGCACCCCTAAGCTCCACTTTGCTCAAGGGTCACATGTAACTTCTTTTTCTTCCTTTAGATAAGGAGACCCGGGCCCGTGCTGCATCTCAGCCGCGGGACTTGCCTGCCTGAACATTTCTGGGAAGTCGTACACGTAGGTGGTCCCCAGGGACTGGGCCTGGAACCGCTTGGCCTGAAGCAGGTCCTTGGTGACATAGGGAGTGTTGATCAGCATCCCGTGCTGGGCTCCTTGTTTGTTGCCAAAGGAGTGAAACATGATCTGGATCAGAAAGAAAGAGAGAGCGTGAGGAAGACACATCTCCATGAAATCCCAGTGCGGGGAGCAAATCTTGTCACCTTATGGGACAAAGTGAGTGCCTGGCATTGCTAATCTCTCTTCTGCCTCTGTGGGCAGCCAGCACAAGGAGGGACAGTGGCAGATGTGGACACAGGCCCCAGAATATAACGATGATGGTACCACACGCGCACACGCACACACGCACACGCACAGCCAAACAAGAGGGCCTCAAAGTGGATGAAACCCGGAGGAAGTCCGAATTTGGGTTAACAGCACTGAGCCCGGGTCAGTTTCCTAGTTTGACAAGGTTGGGAAATTGGGTGAAAGTACATGGGAACTTTCCGTGCTACTTATTTCTCTGTATTATTTTTGCAACCTCTGGAGAATAATTATTTCAAAACGAAAAGATAGTTGCTATCCTAAAAATGGGATATTTGACTCACTTCACAAAAGTCTGTCCTAAAACATGGTTGTGTAAAACACCTATGTCCCAGAGGGAACTGACGAGGGAGGCTGCAGTATCATCACCCAGGGCACCCCACATCCGATCCCCGACATGGTCCCTGAATGGATTACACACAGAATCCCTGTCCTTCCCAGGGAAGTGAACAACGGGGATTCAGCAAAGCTCGCAGGGGCTGCCGGATCCCGCGTGGCCAGGCAAGGCAGCCACCGAGTGCGTGTCCCTCCACGTCCCACTCGAGGGCGCAGCCTGCCTCTGCCCTGCTCTGGGGACCCGCCCGGCCTTACGTTTCCGGATCTGGGGTCGGTGACTTCCTTGTAGAGGCTGATGTCCAGGTAGTAGCCTGACTCGTTGGTGATGAACAGGCGGATGGGGATGGCACTGCCGGCGGCCGTCTCACGGATGTTGATCTTGACCTCGGCCTGGAGCACGCGCAGCTTCCACAGCCGGCTGCCGTAGCGCATGACCATGGAGCGCACGGCCTCCTCGATCTGCCCAGGTCACAGCAAGGCCCGTGTCAGAGCCCGGGCCGCACACACTCCCAGCAGCTCTAGCACTGACAGCCGTGCAGTGAGGATACGCCGAGTGCAAAATGCCCGGGGCACAGTGTGCACCCAACAACTGCTGGCTACTAATGACCAAAGGCACCTGGCCAAGCACTGAGCGCTCATTTTCTCCTTTCGTTTTGTGACTCAGAAGAGTCGGCATCTTTTTTTTAATCCTCACCTACGGATATTTTCCATTGATTATTAGAGAGTAGAGGAGAGAGTGAAAGACATATCGACGTGAGACACACACATTGATTGGTTGCCTCCTGCACCAACCCCGACCAGGCTGGGGAGAACCCTGCAGCCGAGGTGTGTACCCTTGACCAAAATCGAACCTGGGACCGTTAGGTCCACAGGCCGACGCTCTAGCCACTGTACCACACTGGCTAGGGCGGTGCCGGCATTTTTATCCCCCATTTAGATGAGGACACAGAGGCTGGTGACCAACAGCTCATGCTCCTTTGGGACACCACCTGTATCCCATCATGCATCTCCAGCCCACCCATCTTCTCTGCTGGGAAGTGGGGGGACGGGGGGGGCGGGGGCACCAGCATGGGCCCTCTGCACCCCACAGATGCCAGGATGAGGTACCAGGACCTCTTTCATCCCACAATTACCACCTTAAACCCTGCCTGCTCATGAAGAAAGAGCCAGCAGGGTGCCCAGCAGAGCCTGGACCCGGGGACAGGACACCCTTTTGTTTTGCAAGACGTTTGGGCATCCGTGTGGTCCTCAAAGTGAGGCACGTTCACGGAGGGTGAACGCGGAACAGGGACAGTCCCAGGCTGGTGGCTCTAGAATTACACGGTGCAGGGTTTGTCTTCCACCTGCAGGACGGAGGCCTCGGCACACACATGCACGTCCTGTAATTCGGGTCTCGAGCGCCAGGAGGTGGTACCCAGGGCAGCTTGGCACAAAGAGCCATTGGTCCCCAGGAACTGAGCCCAAGCGGACGAGGGCCCCGGAGAGAGACCTTGTAGGGGTCCATGATGACGGTGGGCACGAAGTTGAGGAAGATGTGGTTGCAGTCGGTGCGCACACTGGTGTTGTTGAAGGCCACCTCCAGCTCGTCCATGGCCTCCAGGAGCAGCCGCTCGCCCTCATTCTGCAGGTACTCGAAGGAGGCCTCCTGCCAGGGAGGGGGCAGCCGCTGAGGCAAAGCCTCGGAGAGGAATCGCTCTTCTCCCAAAGGTGTGCCCGGCGAGCACAGCAGAGCCCCTCCGAAGGCCAAGGGCTGACAAAGGCTGTGCGCATTCACCGTCTGTGTCCGGACGCTCGGACAGCTGGGGCCTGGCTGGCCCTGGAGGGACTGCCCCTTCCAGAGTCAGCCGAGTCCTCGATAGGAAACAACTCCCCCACAAGCCACCTTCCAATGCAAACCAGCGCCTCCAGAGCCCTCGCCCCAACCACCTCCTCCATGGGGCTCCCCCCTGCCCAGGTCACGCCGGCTCAGGTACCGACACCTACAGACTGCCCTGTGCTCACAGCCCGCTGAGACTCCCCAAACTGGCCAATCCCAGGCCTGCTTACCTGCCTCACCCACTCCTTCCTGCAAAAACCACAACAAAGGCTCTCGCCCATAACAAGCCATGGACGTATACGTCTAGAGAGGGTCACCTACAAGGCCGGCCCGAGTGCCAGGATTCTGGGCCCTTTTTTTTTATTTTTAAAAGCAGTTTTGAAAATTGTTTGAAATTTTCACAACATAATCATGGGTAACTTTTCTAAATGGAAAAAAAAAAAGACCACATACTCAGCCAGCAAGCATCACTTAACAAAGCCCTGTCTTCTTTCTATGCCCACAATTCTCTTCTCGTGCAGAGACCACGTTACCGAAGAAATAAATCCATAGGCCACCAGTGTCCACCTGCCGCCGCCCGGCTGGGGTGTCCCAGGGGCCGGGCTGTGTGTGCCCAGGGCACCCTGCGATCCCCCATGCGGCCCAGGGCCCGGCACAGAGCAGGACAGCAGAGGGAGGGCCAGCGCCTGCGTGACAAGCTCAGGGGAAGAAAGAAAAACCCCAAGACC